TTGTTTTTTTAAAAGAAATGAATAAAACTAACTGAACTGAAATAAAAAAAACTTCCAACAAACACATTAAAACAAATTATTTGGAACAGGTCAAAGCTAACATATTMATTTAGTCCAATAAAATCAGTATAAAAGGAGGAGTCTTATTTGCTGACTGGTCACTTACCAAGCCTCGCAGCGAGGCCCAGCAACCATTTGACGTCTTCTGTGTACGGCGGGCTTCTGGAGAAATTGTTGGGATGGTCGTTGTGAGCCCTCCTGCCCAGCATCTCCAACGCCAGCATGCCTTCAGAGAATCAGAGATGGAGCATTTTACCAGAAGGAAACACATTCGTTGCATCAATCCTTCATCTTTAAAGCAGTACTGAGCCTTCTTGGTTCAGCATGTGTGTCCAGGAGTGTTTTGGGACTAAAGTCAGACGTTTAAATAACCAGTAATGACTACATTTGTAGGTTGAAACTAGAGTCATCAAGTAGAACAGAAACAGATGTGAGAGGCTTAAATTTATTATCTGGATGAGCTGCCTGCTGCAAAGCTGAGGTTGAGGAACGCCATTGTAGGTCAGAAACCTGGACATAGAGCATGACACGACAATGTTTTCATGTAAGAGAATCTCCAAAGCAGGATTTCAACATGTGCTCCATCAAGTTTGGTGAAGGAGCCAGAAGCAAACAGGAAACCCTGAGGACCGTAAGCTAGCATCTCTCTGGGCTGCGACTGTAGGCGACCAGTTGGAGACGAAAAAAAAGTGAGATAACGGTCAAAATTTCCCCCATTTTCACAAACTAAAGTTTGGGACAAAACTCTCATTTTTGGCCTCGGCCAAACGTGTCTCCATAACCAGATCGTGGACAGGTTTTGGATTCACCCCTGCTACATTTAGGAGACGACACAGCTTGAGTTTAAGCTGAGCAGGCAGGCCAGGAGGTTTCGGACAAAGGCCCTGTCCCAATACCCACACTCCCACCCTCGTTCCCTTGTGCACTTCAAATGCTTGTTCATGTTGAAGGGTTTGAGTGCGCAGTSTGTCCCACATTCTCCACATCCGCCCTTCGTCCCACCCATTTTGAGTACCATTTCTGCCCTTCCACGCAGTCTGCATTTTTGCAGATGTGCGGAAATAACTTATATAACTTTGCCTGACTGCTAAGTTCACATTACCTTGACATATTCTGTATCTCTCTGATAACTGCTACATTTATTATAATCTGTCCTATGATTGAAAGATGCCACTGATGTCTGTTCTCATTTTGATCCCGCTRTAAACCTTTAACTTTGTGATTGGCTGTTCACGGACTCCACCCGGAACCATATTTGCATTTCCTGTCTGTTGCTAGTTCAGTAGCTACGTGGTGGGACCTCTGATCGGACCTTTGCGTTGCTGCTCATSTTTGCATGTGCGAACCTTTTTAAATCATCTGACGACCAAACCTCGCAGTGCACCTTTCTTTTATTCACGTGTTTCGGCCTTAGTGGATATTTCCACGACAGCAGACTTCGGCTAAGCGTATTACCCACAATTCACTGCTGTATGTGACGTCTGGAATTAAAATGCAGAAGAAGAAAATCAATATTCATGGACGGATGGATCATGGAAAAACAAATTTGGGCCATTATTCATTTGATAAATGATAAAGGGGATTTGTTAAAACATGAAGAATTTAGTATTAAATGTAAAATAATTTGTACCCCTGAATATTAC